TCGTCAGTTCGAAAGACTATCTTATAATGATACACATAGAACATCTTTAAATGTTGAGTGACTTCAATATAAGTTGATGATTTATTACTAATATTATCATCGAAATGTTCTAAATTATATCTATGCCATAACAGTGAGGGTGTGAGTGAGCAGAGTAAAGAGAATGCCCCACACCCTCAAGATTCACATACACACATACATCCCACTAGGGGTGTGAATTTATTGTTATTAATAAGAATAACTTTTTTTTTTTGAAAAAGACCTTGTCTCAGCTCGCTGCATATTTTAATCGCATGCGTTATATGAGCTTATCCTTTAGAACAAATTTTTAACTTCTATAGTGCCAATTCGCATGGTAAAACCAATATAAACAATGAACTGAGTTTTCAGGAAAAAAAGTTATTTGTTATTTATTTGTTATTAATAACAACAAGATAACAATAAATTCTCACCCCTACATCCCACCGTCAGCATGCGTGCATGTTGAGAAGCCTAGCGAATTATTGTTTAAAAGTAATGAAACCCGCTTTAGAAAAAAAATCGAATATGGCTCAGCTTCATTTTCCGACTGTTGTCAATAGAGAAAAAATGATTTATTTAAACAAATAATTACTATCCGTTTCCATAGTAAAATTTTTCTAAATACACAAAAAATGTTTATTAAAATAAACACTTATTTTATAATAGTTTTGAGTAGTCAAGACCGGTTTTAGAAAACGCTCAATTGTTTGCGGTGAGTCAGTGGCTTTTTTAAGAACCGCCATTGATCGTGGATTTAGACAAAACAAGGTAAGATGAGATCTCATTGACAGACGAATAATATATGTAGGTTAATTTAGAAGAGTCAAGATAAAAGTTTTAAAAATTCATTTATCTAAACTAATTAAAACAATGTAGCGTTCTTGTTAAATAGCCTAGAGGATAATCCAGCTTTTTAAGATATACGTGGCTTTACCATATTATGTTTTATCATCAACTGTTGGGCGATTTCTATTGAGCTCAGTAGATAATAGGCGAAGTTGTTCTAAGTCAGATTGTATATTTGGATGATCGGATCCGAGCAGACGACAATTCATTTCAATTGCTTGAAGATTAATTTTCATTGCTCGAGCAATAGCATCGAATGCCTCTTCATGGCGTCCTAGATGACGATATGTATCGGCAATTCGTGTAAACGTCATACGAAGATCTGGATGATCAGGAGGTAATGATAATAGTTGAATATGTAAACACTGTTTCAATGCTTCGAGAGAATCATCAAAGTTACCTTGTCGAAATAAAAGGTTACCAGTATTATAATGCGTCATTGCAATATTTTTATGTATAGGTGGCAAATGTTCTTCTCGGATTTTTAGTGCTTTTTCATGATAGACAAGTGCTTGATTAAGATCATTTTCATCAGCTAATAAAGTTGCAATGTTATCATAAATACATGCAATTAATTCATTATCTCGCGTAGATAAGGCCATGTTGAGTGCCAATTGGTAATATTTACGTGCAAGTTCGTATTGTTGAAGTCGCCAATAGGCATAGCCTATATTGCAGAGTGTCCTATCAGAAGATAATTCATGTTTTTGTTCGATATCCAATGTTTTCAAATAGTATTTAAGAGCTTTACTATGGTCTCCTGCACTATCGTAAATTGAACCCAGATTACTCAAAGCAATTACCCGTTCACCAGGTAATAGGTTTGATTCTTGAAGAAATCGAAGATAAAATTGAGCGGATTTCTCATAATCACCTATTTCGTAGAGTAAAAAAGCTATATTTGATATCAGTTTAGCCCCTTTCATTTGCCGATAGACATATTCTGTTAGAGCAGCAAGTTGTGAATCATGGTCATTTGTAAACTTCAAATGAATACAATAAACACCATTATCGATGAGTCGATCAATTCTATCAATGCGAAAGATGGCATCCATTGAAAATAGATATTCTTGTTCATTTCCATTAATGTATGGATCAATATAGGCAAATGAAACTGGTGACAATAAACAACCACTCATTGATATAGTAAATAGAACGGGCATGTTATTCGTATTCTTTTGAGCACGGCCAGCGAAAACAAGTGCAAGTTCTTTATTTGCACTTGTCGATAAAAAACTATTAACAGACAGTAAACCTTCAGGATTATGCAAAATTTTGTCATTTAACTCGTTTATAGGCATCAATGCACCACGATAGAGAACTGTCGGAAGAACAGCGGTGCATTCCATAGTAGTACACCTGTTATGAATAGCAACAATCTGCTGATGAAGATCACGGATAAATATGCGTATATGAAAGAGCAACTCAATGTTCTGTTCACGAAGTGCCTTATTAACCAGTCCATACAGAAAACTATCTAATGAATACCAATATATTGGTGTATGAGTTTTGTATTCGTTTTCAAATTTTTGAAGAAAATTCAGTTTTGCTTTGTCATTAGCAAACAGTTGACGAAGGTAGTGCATCATACTATGTAATGATTCAATTGAATCATCGTCTTCATTAGAGACATCAACAAGAACACGTTTAAGCAACTGCCCAAAGATGAATGCGGCTTCTTGTTGGTCTTTTCTTTGAAATACTGTGTTGAGACTGTCGATACTGTCCGAAACTCTCCATATATCAAAACTGATACATTCATGTTCACGTTTGATTCGCAGCATATCCGTTTTCATTTGATCATAAAATTTCGCAACAACTGGAAAAGGACCGGCCACCTTTCCATATTGTTCAAAAGGACATAGTACATAATCATTATGTTCATCTTGTAGTACATAAATGGCACCAATTTGTGCAAGATCATGCAATATCTTAATAATGAACTCGCTCATCTCATTCCTGACATTAACGATAAGAAATAATAATGTCTCATTTGGTTCGTTTTGTTGAATATCCGTTACAAAGTCAACAAACATATTCGCATCATCAATGCGTTCCGTCGGTGCGATCATATTAAGAGCAATTTCGTCGATATAATCATCCGTTGGATTTTGAATGCCTCCAGTGAACCATACAATTTGTACATTGTCAAGTGTTCGATTAGACTCAATATCATTAGGTGAACAAGAGTGAAATTGATGTGAAATTGAAGAAGTTAGAGATGACAATTCATCGCATGATTTAGTGCTAGACATAATCAAATTAATGAGCTAAAATAAGAGACAAAAACAATAATTTCTGCTATAGTGTCGCATTTGTAGAGAAGATGACACGAATTAACCAGACAGTAACATATTTAGGAAACTGTGTTTAAGCGCGCAATGTTTGTTCGGATTTTGATATTCTCCTGGTTACATAGAAGCCTTTCAAACCAATGGGTAGGTCAGTAATAAAAACCCAATTTCTTTTGCTCCTCGTTCTCGTTTAGTTTAATACATAATGTTTGATGCCAAAGAACTATCAATTGATCTCTCTAGGAACTGTCAAATTTTCGTTAAAACAAAAAGCTATAATGCTTCACCATTCTCTAATACATACAGTTTTCCAAAATAACTAAGTTATTTCTGTGGTTTAAAGGGATCTGTTGCCTATTCCGTAGAACACAACCAGCTTTATTTAGCAGTTATGCGCAAAGAATAGTTGCATAGAATTTCGCCGCTAAAAACAGCACATACGTTTGTAATGATTTGGAAAAATCATAATGTTACGTTAATTGAAGGTTTCGAGACATTCAGAAATATGAAAAATCAACTCAAAAAGATTTTTATTGATGAAGCTTTTCTGTCACAATAATGACATGTTAGTGGCCCATTGTTTAATAATACTGCAATGAAACTAAAATGGTGCATTTGTATAACTGGTAAAATAAATCAAATGTTAACAAATAATTAGCGATTTCTTATGTATGCAATTTCGGAGATTTTTTTTTTTTGATTTAGTATAGGTGATATTCATAGATAGATGACTGTCAACAAAATAGTTACTGTGCAAATACTCCATTTTATCGTTTCTCTCAGGAAATTATTTTGATTTTGATTTCTCAAGTCGAACACAAATGACTTACTTTCTTTGAGGAGACAAACAAAGGAAAAAAATGTATGCTGTTTCTTTTTTTTTGAAGACCTGCATATTCATCGTGCTTGCAATTGTATGCAGAAGTGCTCCATAAAAAAAGAGAAAAAAAACAGAGGAAAGAAAAACGAGAAAATATGATTATTCTTTTATAGCACCTTACCTTTTGTTTCTGTCAATAATCATATAGGGCGTTTCAGAAATGACTATACCGAATGAAAAATAGGCTATATTCGCTATATTTTGAATAAGCTAGCCGATTCTTTTTTCATTGATAAAACTGCGTTTGCAGACAATATGCACATGAGAAAACAAAACAGTATGAATTGCAAAAGAACATTTGGAGTACTCGACTTCTATAATTCTGCGACGCTTATATCATCGAATATCTTTTACTCACGGTTGATTAACAAGTATTACCTCGTTCAATTGTTGAGGGTGGAATGTAGGTGTAAGAAAAACAAAAGGGCGGAAGTCATATAACTTGAAATAAAAAAAATAGTTTTACTAAAGAAACTATCTAACAATCATTATGAAAAACTATCATATATCACATTAGTATCCTGACTGTTTGTATAGGACAAATATATTAGATCGAGCTGTTAATTTTACGGAATTCACAACACAGTACTCCTTGTAACAATATAGAAAAAAACAACGAATTTGAAGATATAACTATATCGTCGATGTCCTTTTTATGAAGATTGATTTTTTCAGAAGATTACTCTTAAGAAAATCGTTATTCCTTTTGTTTAAGATATCGGAAATCAAATATTAGATAGAGACGGTTTTCGGAGAAACACGTCCTCATGGAGAATATTTGTTTATTTGTTTTTGTTCTTTTTTCCCACATTTGCTAACGCAATAATGCTCGAATACATACACAAGGTTTTTTATTTTCGTTCTTTTCTTCACGATACAAATACGCGCGCTCAAAAAGCACAAATATCGTAAAATACATTTTTGACTGAGTGGTAGAATTAAAGTGACGACCATAAACGAATAACATCAATAGTGAAGTAAGTATATCATCAGCTTTTTGGTCTCTTTTTATTCATTTATTTATTACTTCATAAAAAAAGACTCTCCCTAAGAATTTATTGGCATGTCAAATCAATCTAAAAAGTTCCACGATTACTTGGATCGATCTAAAAAGGGTTCGAATCCTTTGTCACGTCTTTTCTTCTCAGTGGTTCGTGCCATTGATCCCTATATTCAATACCTCATTGTTGTGCCGGGTTATGGCCACCAAATTATATCAAAAACTGGAATCGTCACGATTAATCCAGGACAAAAGGGACTTGTTCTAGTAGTTATGACAGCAGCTTGTACTATCAAACAGATCTTTCATATGACATGCATTTTGGAAGAACAAATTAGTTATCCGATGATACTTGCAATAGGCATTTTCGATATAATTACTCATTCTCTTGCTACATTATCTTCTTTCATCTATGGTCCATCCAATGGATTAGGTACTTTACAATATGTTGGTATTTCTTTCTTTACGGTGGGTATTCTGACAGAACTGATTTCGGAACTTCAACGTAAACGATTCAAAAATAATCCAGTCAATAAAGGCAAAATCTATTCCGGTGGCCTATTTTCTCTTGCACGGCATATTAATTATGGTGGCTTCACTCTTTGGCGTACTGGGCTGGTTCTAACAAGTGGTAATTACTGGTTGGCAGCTTTGCTTTTCTCCTTACATACATGGGATTTTACAACAAGAGCTATACCATGCATGACGGATTATTGTAGTAAGAAATATGGTGAAGATTGGAAGAAATTCGAAAACGACGTGCCCTACACTTTGTTTCCTTATATTTGTTAGATGAAAAATGACAGTCTTATTCAGAAAATTTTCCTGTGTTCTGTATTGTGTTTTTTCAAATAAAGGTGCCCTTTCTAGATTTTATTGAACGTTTCTCAAGTCATTCTGGTCCTTTTGCTGTGAACAAGTGTGATCGAATTGAGATCTTCCATATGTAATTGAAGAAATTGAAAGCATTTATCTCTCACAATGAGGCCAAATTGCAGACAAGTCATTCTAAAAGTATTATTCAAAAAATTTGTAATTTTTATCGTCATCCATCTTGTGTCCCTTAAATTAGTTGGCTGTTTTTTCGTTAAAATACTCATTCATAGAACTTTTCAAACAAAAATCCAACTGTTATAAAAAATGTTGTTTCTTTTGAGCATCTGTTATTTATATACTAAGAACGTCACGATTTTCTTAAAACAACAAGGAATGATTTATTGTCTCAATACTTGGATATCTAACAAAAAATCTTCTTAGCATAGGAACTCGAGGGTGTGGCTATGTCTGTGGGTTTACTCAAAGAGTAGTCTCACACCCACACCCTCAAAGGAAGATAAGAATTTTGTAAATAGTATGGGATGGGAACAGGTAAAACTCACACTCGGCGGTATACGAATAATAAAACAGTAAAATCATTACAGTATTGCCCTTGAGACTCAAATATTGTGTGTGTTTATCAGAATGTTCTACTGACATAGATTTAATTGTTTATTGAAAAGCTAACATATCGTGCTGGAAGATCTAAAACATATGGGTCAATGAATAATTGAGATGAGCGACATCTGTTGAAACAAAGTTTGATCTGACATATCCAATCCAAACGAATATGAATGTTGTTTGTAACATCAGCCAAATCCGTTTTTGATTTTTTTTTTGATAAATGCACCAAAACACTATTCATATTTTTATCATAGTTGTTTTGTTCAGATTCTGAAAGAGAACTATGTCATCTGAACCAACCTCTATTATTCTTAGTGAAGAAAACGAATCTACAAAGCCGAAACGATTACCACGAAGTGCTAAAAAACGTTTACGTTATGAACGCATTCGTCAAAAACATAAAGAAACTCCTAAAAAGAAAAAGAAACCTAAATCGTCTCATCATCATTTATCACTTGAGTTGCCAATCAGTTCTGATGATGGTACGATTTTCGTTTAGTGAAAATTTTGTTTCATGTTTGTTTTTTTTCGTCAATAGTTTCAACCACGCAAAATATATCAGTTACAGGAAAAACATTTAAACGTGCTGCTAATGATCGGTTAGCAGAAATTAATCAAGAATCAACAGCACCTGCTATTTGTATTGATTGTGCTTATAATGAAGCGATGTCACCTAAAGTGAGTTCATTACAAAGAAATCGATCATCCATGATTATTTCTTACAAATAGGAATTAGCAAGCGTTGCTCGACAAATTGGACGATGTTACAGTTCAAATCGTCGAGCGCAAAAACCTGTTAAACTCATTCTAACGAACTGGTCTCACGATAGTCCATTGGCAGAAGAATGTCGTCGAGTTACTAACGGTTTTGATAATTTTCAAGTGATGAAAAACTCATTGTTTTTTCTTGCCCTTCATATTATTTAAATGACAAACTACTGTATAGATAATCCTCAGTGATAAGTCCATTCATGAATCTTACCCAACGGAACGTTTGGTTTATTTGAGTCCAAATGCTGACAAGCAATTAACTGAAATCGATGAGCAAAATGTACATGTTATAGGTGGCCTTGTTGATGAAAGTGTTAAAAAAGTAATTCTGTTTTATTGAAAACTAATATTATGTATGTATGTATTTATTAGAATATGACATATCAAGCATGTCAAGATAAAAAGATTGTCTGTTACAAATTGCCCATTGAAACTTATATGGAACATTCGATTGCTGGTGGTTCATTCAATCAGATTCTTTCAATTAATCAAGGTAAAAGTAGCTCGAAACCTCTAATCATTCCGGAGTCGAGTGAAAAATGATTTTTTTTTCTTATTTTAGTGTTCGATATTTTGATGACCTATATGGCAACAAAAGATTGGAGACAAGCATTGAAAGCAAATATTCCAGAACGAAAAGGTTGGGTTGTTAAAAATATACCAGGTAGAATCATACTGTTGTTGCTATTTTTTAATTTGTTTTTTTTTTTGTTTTAGATTCGGAGGAGAATAAAATAAAAACAGATTGATGTTCATTGTTTTTTTTTGAGATTTTATTCTTAACTTCAACCATGATGGATTCAATGTGATGAAGATTTTTGTTTCATCTTTTTCTAGATAATCATGTCAGATGAAGTTGAAGATTTATCATTTCCAAATGCAGTCATCACTCGATTGATGAATGAAGCTGTAAGATTTAGAATCTAAAAATTTTCGTGCATCCTTTGTTTTACTTTAGTTGGAAGGTTCACCGACAATCTCAAAAGAAGCTCGAGCAGCTATGTCGCGCGCTGCATTGACATTTATACTCTATATGAGTACAACGTATGTGTTATCGCCTTAGAATAAACCATGCAAATCTTTTCTATTTATTTTTAGTGCTAATCAATATGCTTCAAATGCGAAACGTAAAACAGTTGCAGTTCAAGATATATTCAAAGCACTGCAAACTAATCAATTCGAAATGCTTGTTGAACCATTACAAGAAGCATTAAAAGGTTTCGTATACATATTTAGAAAGTTCGAATGAAAAACAAAATTCTCCTTAAAATTTAGATTATCAAGAGCAGACTCGTAAAAAGAAAGAAGAAGCATCAAAAAAGCAACAGAACAAGCCAGAAACAATAAACGAGAACGATGAAGATTCTAACAATGAGCCAGAAGATGATAGTAATGAAACGGAAGTTGAATAAAAAAATTTTTTTTGTCAGATAGTCATGTATCAAAAATATATTTTCCTCTATTTGCAATATTACATAAGTCTATGATAGAAAGCGACGTCTATTAAAAAAATTCATATTCTTTATTTCAGATACTTTGTCCATGATCGATAAATTCAAATACATGGATTTAACATGGACTTATCAAGGTATATTGATAATTTCTTAATCTTCGTTTCATCAAAAACAAATTGATAACTATATTTGCATAGAATAGAAAAAAAAATTACGATTTATCGATTATTTTCTATTGTATTCACTCAGTCGAATATTTTGCTGTAGTTTTACCAAAACTGAATATTCCGAAGGTACAATAAGCATTCATTCGAAACAATGTCATCCACATCCACTGGCGAAAAAAAAACTGTACCAGGTGAAAAAAAATAGAGTTTCATCTAATCAGCTATTCTTAGTATTCTATTCAAATAGTTTTTCCCTGGTTTGGCATCGATATTGGTGGAACATTAGTTAAACTTGTTTATTTTGAACCGCTGGATTTAACAGATGATGAAATTCGAACTGAAGGTGAAATTTTAATGAATATTCGTCATTATTTAACATCAAATCGAGCTTACGGACAAGACGGTGTACGCGATCATGGATTGGAATTAACAAATATTCAATTGGGTGGTCGTCGAGGAAATCTTCATTTCATTCGTTTTCCAACATCGACAATGCCGAATTTTATTGATTTATGTTCCATGAGAAATCTACATACGTTAACCTTTGAAATTTTTGCCACCGGTGGTGGTGCCTATAAATTTGAAAAAGATATTGTCGAAGTAAATTTTCGCTGGTATAACAACGGAAAAGCTGAAGGCAAATTTTTATTTTAGAAATTAAAAATAAATTGGTGTAAATGCGACGAGCTCGATACATTAATACAAGGGTTAAGTTATTTGAGTAAACTTAATTCAAAAGAATGCTTCTACTATGAAGAACCGCAAAACGATGCTAATCCGAATAAAAATCCATTTATATTCGATACTAAACAGCCATTTCTTTTAGTTAATATTGGCAGCGGAATTAGTATTTTACATGTTGACTCGAATAGAAATTATCGACGTATAACTGGCACAAGGTTAGTTTTATCTATGAATTTTATTTAATATCTTTTTTTTAAATATTATAGTATAGGTGGTGGGACATTTTTAGGTTTATGCTGTCTATTAACTGGATGTTCAAGTTATGATGAAGCTATTAAATTAGCCACCGAAGGTGATAGCACAAAAGTAAGTGCGAATCATTTGAAAATCTCTCTCTCTCTCTAATTGATGTTATTGTTTAGATTGATAAATTAGTCAGAGATATATACGGTGGCGATTATGAGAGATTTGGTTTACCTGGTCATATTGTAGCTAGCAGGTAGTAATTACTATAAACAGGAATAGCAGAGACAGATTGCAAATAAAATCTTCTATATTCAATGCGTGTCCTGCGCGTGACTAATATTTGTTGTTGCTGATAATACTTAATTGTTTTGCAGACAGTAGATTATAGAAATAAATTCATCGAGTCTATGAAATAACCGATCTTTTAAACAAATGCATAATTTTGCTTTAATTTATTTCCATCATATGTTGTCTGGGGGAAAACGAGCCAGCACTCAGAAATGCCTCTAAAAAAAATCTTCTTCTGCAGGCTATATTATATTTCAGCCATAGAGTAAAAACTGTTGTATCACGACATGTTGTTCAATGTGAGTATTTTTAGTTTTGGTCACATGAATCTACCAGAAAAACGCGAACAAGCAACCAATGCTGATTTAGCTCGAGCTACATTAGTAACAGTATTAAATAATATTGGTTCGATTTCAATGATGTGTGCTCGAACTGAGGTATCATTTTCTTGTTGTTTTGTTGATTGTTGATTGAATAAGATGATGCATAGAATGTGGATCGAATACTATTCAGTGGTAGTTTTTTACGTATAAATGGTTTATCGATGAGAATATTAGCTTATGCTATGGATTACTGGTCAAGCGGTCAGATAAAGGCTGTATTTCTTGAACATGAAGTAAGTAGCGAAAATCTGTGATGTTGTTTGTTGCTAAGTGGAGTGTATTTTGCTATTAGGGCTACTTCAGTGCAGTTGGTTGCTTGAGAAAATTTATTATGGACGCAAATGGCAATTGAAACGGTCGAACTCATTCCTCGCAGAAATTATTAGTTGTCAACCCTCCTTTCTTTTTATGTGATACTATCGAAGAGTTTGATAAGCGTTCGTTTGTGTTACAACAGTTTTGCTTTATTTTAATTCTCTTTTACGAATATTTAATATAATTTTCCTAATTTTCCATGTATTTATTGAAGATTAGAAGAAATACGCAACGAGTAATGGTAAATTTTGCCAATTTTTTTCGTGCCTTTTGTATTTGGGAATGCTGCTCGAAATATTGGGTACCAAAGAATGTGACGCGTGAGTTTTTATTTTTAATCAGGATCTTTTATTTTTGAATATGAATTTTTGAAGAACTTGATGTACGATTGAAAGAACAATTGATGGGTCAGCCACTTGTATATAATCTAATACTTACGTCCATTAGTTCACATATCAATACCGAACGTCCATCGAAAGCTTTAGTGTTGTCATTGCATGGAAGTACTGGAACAGGTAGGCATCATAGAATTTCTCGAAGAATATTTTAAAAGGCAATCCTAAATGTATCTACAGCGGGGCTGATGAACTGAAATATCATCAGGAATAGTTTAAAAGTACCAGAAAACATGGAGATTTTGAAGTTTATTTATTTTTTTTTTATATAGGCAAAAACTTTGTTGCTAAACATATTGTTGAAAGTCTTTATCGAGATGGCTATAAGAGTAAATATGCTCGACTGTATGTAGCATCTCGTGATTTTATGCATCATGACGAAGAACATCTTCGTCAGTACCAGGTATGATATATATATATATATAACAATCGCATTGCTTGATTATGCAATAACACTTCCTTTCATATAGGATTTTATAAAACATGATATTGAAAAAGCTACAAGTTTGTGTCACTATGCAACATTTGTTTTCGATGAAGTTGATAAGATGCCTATTAAATTACTTGAAACTATTATATTTTACATCGATTTTCATACACCTACTTATGCCCAACCAATTGATTTTCGCAAAACGATTTTTATATTTTTAAGGTAGGATGCCGATGATCGAAAGTAGAATTCTATCGGATCAATGGTGCAATCTTCCTATTTAATTTATCGTTTTCAGTAATACCGGTGGTAAAGAAATCAATGCGATAGCTCATAAAAATTATTTTGCTTCAATAAAACGTGAAAATTATAATATTGCTGAATTTCAACGAGCTCTTGCAAATGCTGCATTCAATGAAGCAGGTTTTTCGCATCTTTTTTTATTAAATTTTATTTTTCATCAAAGTTTCTCATTTTGTTTCTAATACTAAAGGTGGCCTATGGCATGCATCGCTGATTGAGCGACATTTGGTGACATTTTTCATACCATTTCTCCCACTTGAACGCTCCCATATTCGTACTTGTATTCGTCGACAACTGGAATTGGCGCACGAAAACCATAAACATGAATACAAACTATCTGATAATGATATTATTGATCGTGTCCTCGATTTAATTGAGTTTTCACCGCCAAATTCTTTACTCTATTCAGTATCAGGATGTAAAAAAGTCCGGCAAAAACTTGATTTTATTTTAGAAAGTAATCGAAGAAATGTCAAGCAAACTAATAACGAATTTTAAACGAATGGATAATAATGATTCATCGTTTTTTCTGTGATTGTCTTATTTTTTTTTGGCATCTACTTTTGTATTAAAAAAAACAAACGTGTGATGATTCATTGCCTTTTTTTCTACAGTTGATCTAGATTTGTTCATTTTTCAGTATGAGTGATATGAGCGTTAAACAACAACAACAGATTGAATCATTGAACAGTGAAGTAAGTCTTGATTGAATAAAGGAAAATAACTATTTTGTTTTTTCTGTATAGATACAAATTTTACAGAAGAAATTAGACAGTAAAACAAAAGCGTTTGCAATATTGATAAACGAACTTGACGCCTTGAAACATGAACGAGATCAATTTAAATCGCTTGTCGATAGTTTACAAGAAAAATGTGTGCAACTTAAAAAACAAGTGACAAATAAGGTTAACCTTGGCTTTTTGAATAGGTTTATACGATAGAGTCTATAGGCGTAACGTTATTCGGGTGCGTCCCTTTTCGTCCTCACTCTTCCGGACATCAGGTTATTTGACCGGATGTTCGAAATCGGATATAAAAAATAAAATCGATTTTCCGGATGTTCGGAATGAAAACTGTCCAGATGTTCGGAACATAAAGTAACAGATGTTCGAAACAAAAAATGAACGATGTTCGGAACGAAAAAATACTGAATGTTGGAAATGAATTTTGGTGTATGTTTTTATAGCGGGAATGAGTAGTAAAACTATAAACTTCTCTGTTTTATAGAGGGTAGGTGCTGGTAACAAAAAATTTACTAATAATTCTCATAAATGTTCAGCCAGCAGTTCATTAAGCGAAAGAAAAAGTAGACGAAACAGATGATGCCAATATTAAACAAATTCCAAAAAAGAAAAAAACAAGACATGCTGCAAAAAAAGCATTAGGCATAAAATCTTTTTCTTACAAAAGTTATTTATTCTCTCACTTGTATAAACTTTTGTTGTCTTATGCTTTTTTTGTGAAAGACTATACTAGGAAATAAAAGAAAATAAACTATGTTATAAAAAAATTATTTTCCGTTCCGGACATCTAGACGACTTTCATTCCGAACATCCGGAAACTGAAGTTCGGAATGGACTTCTCCGACCGATGTCCGTAAAAAAAATGAGGACGAAAAGGGACCACCCCAACTTTTCTACGAAACTAAAAATCAAACACAATCTCAAAATAGCCTCTCTTCTGTTGTGTGGTACATGCACCATTTTCCCTGTATTTAGATGTCTTTTTTACGGCTAGCGAACCGCAAGCAACTTTCAAATTCTAACGATATATTGAAAGAGACTGTAGAATTCTAATTACATTTAAATATTTACAACTCTTGTTGAAACTAGTGTTTTATACAAAAGTTGCTTTTCAGTTCCATAGAAGAACTAATCTCACTGAAGCAACTTAAACTGTGAATATATATTTAGAAATTCTCATCCGAGCTGTGCAATTCTGAGTGTGTTGCTTGCAACATAATTATATTCATTTTCATACCTACAAGACAATATCTAGCAATTATGACGGATTACTGAATACATTTTTGTGATATATTATTTATATATATATTATATAAAATACAAAATACCAAATATGTAATGATGTGAGGCGCATATTGAAGGATAGTTTTTATGGATTGTTGTTTGATGTGCTTTTCTATTTAAGAATCACCCATAGAGCATGAACCACACCAGGCAAATAGCCAAGAATTGTCAGAATTAAATTAAGAAGTACAGTGCTGTTGCAATGGTTTTGATGTAATAAAACAGCTAACGGAGGAATAAAAATGGCAAGAATAATCAAAACTACACGACTGATCATTCTCGATTTTAACTAATATAAATGTAATATGTTGCCAGAAAGTCGGACAATTAATGGTGGAATAAAACTGAAGAAATGAATAGAATACATGATAAAAGGTGTCTTTTATTTAGATTTCGTTTACTTTTTTGTTTTCTTTACCTTTTAAAAATAGCATGCAAAGATTGTGGCTGTACAAACAAAGAGAACACTCAACAGAAAGTGACATTAACATTTGAAGTGTAAAAGAAAATAGAAAAACATTAAAAAGCATTGTAAAAATAAAATTAAGAATATTTATGAAGCATTTATGTGTCCATTCGAACCACCTCTGCATATGAAATAAAGAATCCAATTTTTATTTATTCTCGGACACAATTTTAATGAAAAATGACTCGTTGTAGTTAAAACATCGAGAGCATATTTCAGTACGCGTCATTTTCGTTCACTTCACAAATAATTACTTTTCCTTGCATAGTATCTATTGGAATTAAAACAATCTAGTATTATTCTAATGAGAAGGTTAAACAAGTGGTAAAAGTAGAATGATTTCTAAAATCTTGTACTACACATTGAACACTAAATGAGCAAAAGTGCAATTTGATTCAATAATAAACAGTTTCAGACTATGATAGTTTAACATCGTCTGGAATAAAAAATTGCAGTTTTTTTGTAAAATATCTATTTCTCTTATTTATCATTAGTAGATCCTGAGTAATTTTCATAATGCATGTTCGATACCTGCATATCCAATGTTTTCAGCGTAGCTTTAACACGTATAAATGAAAAATTCAAGTAATTAAATTCAAGGTTCAATCAGCTCAAACGGTAAGGTACCCACTAAAAACGAGACGATTAGTGGCTAAGCTCGAAGTTTTCAGCAATATCAAAAGTTTTCATGAAGGTATTTAAATTATGATCGCATCCAGCAATTATAACAGCCAGAAGGAAAACTAGTCGTAGATTAAATTCATATCGTAAATATTTCAAATATTGTCATCAAAACTTGTATTTGCAAAGCAACTTTGACTGTTGCATTTGATAAGCAAAATGCCATTGCCGCTTCGAACAAATACATTTGTTATATCTGTTTCTTTCATAGATGGATGTAGAATTTTCATGGCGTGATATTATTTAGTATAGGCTAGGATCGATCATAATCATAACATTTGTTTTGTGACTATCAGCTGCAAAAAAGCGATGTAAGTCTACTTAAACTTCCAGCAAAACTATAGAAAACATGTATTCATAGTGCATATCCTTTCGTGGTACCTCCAAATGGATATGGCGTGAAGTATGCATTTAATCATTTATCAACTGAATATAAAACCGGCGCAATCTATGAATGTTGAGGCTTTCTAGTATATTGATGTATACCACTGATAGCTATTCTTTTTGTGTACTCGAAAAGTGAGTGCACTACTAAAATCGGTCGGTGTGTCCGGCCGGCCGTCCGTTCATTCGATAACTCTTCACAATTACATTCGATTGAGCTGAAATTTTGTGCACAGAATTATCTCATCAATATCTAGAAGATTGAGTTCGAAGATGAGAAGGATCCGTCAAAAAATGGCTGAGTTATCGAAAAAATTGTCATTTTTGATCAGACCATCCCTGAGGGGGAGTACAGGGATTTTTCAAAAAACGTTTTTCTCAGAATTATCCACAACATATATAAATCAACTCAGCTTTTAACGCTGATTCTGAATCTGATATTAGTTTTGAAAAACAATCGTAGTTTTCTGACGAAACATTGACTGAAAAAAGTCTCGAAATACACAAAACTGCATCTAGAAACCAAATTGCCTAGATATGTCTCAGATGACCAGCAGTTTGGGAGCTTCTCAAATGCCTGGTTTTGTTGCTAGTCAAAAGGACTATCGAAAGGTAAAAACCCGAACTCGATAGCTATTACTATTGATGATTTATTATGAAAATACTGATGCCTGTATCTATTATATATCTCTTATAAATTCATGAGGTTGCTTACGATCGTAATCCTGCTAGATACAAACACAAATTCATTCAAAAATAACTCTTCTTATCCAGTTTTCCAAGCTGAACACGAATCTGAACTTAATTTCTGTGATTTCTAAAGATATTATATCACTCTAAGAGTAGAGTCAGTGGTCACTGGATAGAGTTGCATACAGTGTGGTCCATGCTAACTTAGCACGCCTGCATTTTCTCCTTGCAATTTAGTGAGAAGGGATGTATCTTGATGAGACCTATGCCTTAGAGAAAAAAATGGGTGTACATTTTCGCTTTTTGAAGTACACATAACAATCGGATGGAAATCCGATGCTTCCGCATTTATCTATTGCAGTTTTCACATCAGTAGTCTCGTTGGAAGAGATTTCTTACTGTTCCTTTCCTGGCACAAATACATTACATCATGATAATCATTCACAAAACATTTATGCATCCTCGATCAATCAGTTATTCAGTGAGATCTTAGGCAACAAGTTTTCCATGGACAAAATTGTTTGATATCCCAATTATGCTATTATTATTTTCATTTCTTTTTTACTTCTATCGATTCATAAGTGCTTGGTTTGAATGCAGAAGTGATGCGAATCATAATAATCTGCTAATATATTGTTTTATTACTAAAAACTGGTCACGATGCTCGTCTTTCAATAATGTGACGGTTTTTTGCTAGTCTGATGTTAAATCTTCGCATGTCTCTCACATTTTATTCAAAACCACGAGAGATTTAAATGTGAACGACATCATTGAAAAACGAGGTTTTGTTTTTATCTATTTGAAGGAATTAACTGAAAAAGGCTGTCATCTATCATTCAACACTGTGCGATATGACTGTTTCTAGCTTCGCTGTAACCAATCCGGAGTTAAACAGGTCTGTATCACATGTAGGTAATTGAAAAAGTAGCCCACATCTTTTTCTATTCCATTACAAATCTGTTTTCTGATTTGAGATTGCATTTCGCTGCCAATGAATCCACAACGATTCTCCGTAGCGTCGTTCTCTTTTTATTTCATTTAAATGTTTTGGGGTGTAGACTTTTCTTTCACTGTCATGCAGTCTAAGAAGATTACTTCATTTTTTATTATTATTGAATATATTGCAGATATTAGAAATTCCAACGCTTATCTCTTAAGCTTTACTTTTGACACTTAAATTCAACACGAAGATGTGGAAACATATTCAATTGATTGTATATCGTATTATTGACATTGGTGAATTTCTCAAAAATGAATTTAGAGATTGTGTTGTACTTTCTTTTACCGATCAGAAGTTGTGCTTGGATTATGTCAATTCAGTGCATAAAGCAGAAACAATATTCTTAGTTTTGTCGTTCATGGACGTGAAGGAAATTTTGAATATTATTCATAGGTTACGACAAGTAGACTCAGTTTTTATTTATTCTTCTGAACAGCAATATAAGCAATATGAAGATTTACTCGACAAGTATTCTAAAATCATCGACACTTTTCATCAATATACAGATTTAGTGCACTCAATTCAAGAAAATATTGATCTATCTTTTCAGCAGTTACAATCATTCAGATTTTATGAGCAACATCAGAAATCCACACGTGACTTGTGCAAAGAAGCCGGTAGTTTTCTTTGGTTACGTATATTCAAAGATGTGGTGTTAAACTTGCCACATGATGAAAAGGCAAAGAAAGAAATGATTGAAACACTAAGAGTATGTTATCGAAATAATCGATGTCAACTAAGACTGATCGAGCGATTCAATCGGGAATATCAATCTGAACATGCAATTCTTTGGTATACGGGACAACCATTTTTATACAAACAACTCAATCGAGCATTGCGCACTGAAGATATTAATTTTCTCTATACATTTCGCTATTTCATTTATGATCTAACAAAACAACTTGAACAAGAGTATCAAAAACAACGAGAAGATTGTGATTTCATAATTAAATTGTATCGTGGTGTTCGGCTATCGATTAAGGAAGTGAAGAAATTAGAAACAAGTGTAAGTAAACTTCTATCGACCAATGGATATGTATCAACGAGCCTTTCGAAACAGGTTGCTCTCGATTTTCTTGGTTCGTCAAACGATAACAAAGAAGAAGAAAATGTTCTGTTTGAAATTGAATACGATTTTGGCAAGATCAAGTCGATTATTGTAGCTAGCACCGCTCATTTGAGTAAACATCGAAACGAAGAAGAATTTTTGTTCGATTTAGACGCAGTCTTTCACTTGCAATCGATCACAAGAGATTTATCATCAAATGTGATACTAGTAAAAATGACAGCAGTTGATGAAGGAACCAAAATTACAAATGAGTATATTGAGGAGCATAGAAGATTTATGAGTCGCGGAAGTGTTGTAATCCTATTCGGATATCTTCTTGCCGATATCGGCCAATACGAAAAAGCGCAACACTATTTTGATTGTTTACTTGAAAATCCAAACGGAGAAGATGTGTCGTTTATTCACTATCATTTAGGTGTTATCAAATATTATCAAGGAGACTATGAAGCAGCTCTTAACTATTATCAAAAGTCTTATGATAGATTAATCGAAGATATTCCATCACGTAAAGGAGCACTATCATTCGTACTCAATGATATTGGCTCAATTTTTAAGGCACGTGGACAATATGATATAGCTCTAGATTTCTTTCTGTATGCTCTTAAAATAAGCGAGACTTACTCAAATTACTATATAATAGCTAATATTTTTGGAAATATGGGAAATATATATCGCATCAAAGGAGATCACGATCGTGCATTGTCATGTCAAATGAAATGTCTTCATATCAGAGAAAAATACCAACCTAGTTTTCACAAAGATATTGCTAAAGCATTAAACAATATTGCAGTGATATACAACGATAAAGATGATTTAGATAATGCTTTGGAATATCATCAAAGAAGTCTAAAAATGAATGAACAGTGTCTCCCTGCTGAACATGAGAATATTGCGTCAAGTTTAATCCACGTGGGTAACGTCCTCAGCAATCAAGGAAAATTCAATGATGCACTTGACCATTATATTCGAGCTCTCCAAATCAGACAAATTATTTTTCCAAACGGTCATCCGACTATTGCTGCTAATTTCAGCTCTATTGGACAAACGTATTATTTAAAAAAAGACTATGATCATGCGTTGAAGTATCTTGAAATGTTTTTACATCAAAGAGAAACATTTTTGCCTGGTGTGGAAGATACAAATTTAGTTGATGTTTTCAAATATATTGGCTTAAGTCTGATTAAAAAAAACCGTCATTATGATGCTTTGTCGTACTGTCAACGTGCTTTGAAAATCAGCAAAAGTATATATCCCGTTGGACATGCCATTATTATGGACTGTTTGACAAATATCGGTATAGCTTATTCTGGCATAGATGATTATAGCGAAGCATTAAAGTATTTCGAAAAAGCTCTTGAAAATGAAGCCCAAAATACTACTAAATCAAATCTCATTCAGCGGGCTCGTAACTACGATAATATGGGCATGTGCTGGTGCCGTCAAGGTGATGAGAAGACTGGATTAAAATATCGTATGGACGCTGTCAGAATAATTAGTCAAGTTTATCCTCGTTCACAATATGCTGATTGGATAGACACAATAGGTAATGCTTTTATCGATAAAAAACTATTTGATGAAGCTCTAGAATGTTATTTGACAAGTTTGAATATGAAAGCAGATTGTTTGCCAGCAGATCACATTGATGTTGCAGAAAGTTTTATGCTGATTGGCGATGTTTATCTCGAGAAGAATAAGATAGAAGACAGTGAACAATATGACACTAAGGCTCTATGCTATTATGAAAAGGCATTGGCTATTTATCGACACTCTGACCATCCAAATATAGCTTATATTTTGAATAGCATTGGTTCTATTTATGAAAACCTTAACGAATATCGCCTCGCACTTGTGTACTACAAAGACGGATCTATAATGTATCAAAAACATTATCCATCCGAAGGCACAATCAGACAACTCAACGAAAACAATATTTCTCGGATTCAGCAGGTAATGAACTAGTTTGGCTCTTCATTCGTCAAGATTGATAAAAATATTTCTGTCAGAACTTCTACCATACGAAATCAATTATTGAATACAATCATGTCAAATAATTAGCGAACTCATTTGCCTCTTCAGATTGAAGCACTTTAAAAAGAATCTTTTCTTCAAGTAAAAATTCTTCCAACTCTTGTTGGCAAGTATAATCTCATGTGTATCATCGTGAAAAATATTTTTATATCTCTAAATAACATACTATTCTATATTTCACGCATTGCTAAGCATTAAATTGTTGAAAAACATTATGCAGCAGTCTACAGATAGTGGAAAGTATTCATGCATGTCTCCATATGAATTCTTCAAACCCATATTAGTATGAATACGCATTTGTGTATGGGCGTCGGTTTATATGAGGATAAAAAGTAAGGTGTTATTTAAGTTAAAGTGACAGTCACAGGTACGTTCACTCTTGCTACTCACACCCCACATCCTAAGAAACAGTCTTAAATTATGAGTTTTATTTGAAAATTTATAGATGAAGTGAAGTACAATGAGCTCTGATGGCATAAGGATGAGTTGACCGAGTATTTAGTGAAAGTTCAGTAGTACCATATTGTTTACGGTAAATTTTGCCGTTTGAGATATGTGATAATTTTATTGTCGAACCATTTCTTATAGGGCATTGCCTTGAGCCATTCGGAAGGCAACGATTTGTAACCATATCGTGCGCCATACATTGTTCCACATACAGCTCCATTCGTATCGGCATCGCCGCCTTGTCGAATCAGATCATTCAATGTCTCTTGGAAAGAACGTGTCGATCTTAAACCATAGAATCCTGCAGCTAAACATTTAAAAGTATAACCAATCGCCTTCTCATCGTCAAAACACAGGTCATCCAGGTTCCGATCTTTACTAGTATGCCACAAGAATTCTTCTTGGTAGACTGGTAAAAGAGTATCTCCTACTGTAGCCAATGTCTCTCTTTGAACTCGGTCTATGAGCAATTCCAGATCATCATTCGGAGATTGAATGATATAAGCGATGGCGAGACATACTGCTACACATGATGCGACACATCGTGGATCAAAATGAGTAACTTTACACATCTGAATAGCTGTTGATTTCATCTGAAAGCGATTAATCCATACAATTCTCAAAATCTAAGGTACCTGGCAATTTCGATCTAAATTTACCTTGTCAATTTCATTATAATGCACGAAAGCAGATGCAGAACATCGCATGACAGCCCCATTCGGTGCTGCTTGTCTGTCGGTGCTCTCCCAAGCTGTGCGGCTAGCATCCAATGGATTTTCAAAGAAACCCTCTGTTTGAACAGCCTGTTAGAAAAGAAAATCACAATATTTATAAATTTTCCTCTGCAAAACAATGAGTTTACCTTAGCTACATTAACACCCAATCCTAAACCTCCAAAGTCATTCAATTCAGGAAAACCATGCCGAATCCACATATTTAGTTTTCTTGCAAAGATCTTCACATCACCATCGCTGTCACTCAATGTTTCCATGAGTAACAACCATTGATCTGTATCATCCGTCCAATCACCAGGTGACCATCGACTAGAGTGCTGACTTTGAACATAGTTTGGAAAAGGAATTAATTGAGTTCCGTCTGGATAAGTAGTCGCCACATCTGAACGCTTTTGAAACTCAGTTGCTAGACCATAAGCATCGCCCAAAGCCTGTCCATAGGCACAGCCTAATAGACGATCGATAAGATCTCTCTCATTTGTATTGGAACTGAGCAGATCATCGATTACGTCACTTTCATCAGTGTGGTAGATAATAGAAGTATTCATTATCTGAAAATAGACTCTGTGTTTTGTGCCCGTATTCATTTCTATACTGTTGAAGAAAAAAGGAATATGACAATAAACTCCGATAAGTGTTTTCCAAATTCATATACTTTTACATGAGTATATGAAACGATTGACGATGTACTGAATCTTGTCATTACACTGTTACCTTAGCATAAATCTAAAGAGTTAAAACACAATCTATAATAAACACCTTGTTTTTCTTTTGACTTTTCTTAGCTCAACAAAATAATTGTAAGCTTAACTCAGGATACATCTCGTGAAAACTACATGGATTAACAAATACATTAGCCGAAATTCTATAATGACGAATCCTTTTTCTGGGACCTTGCGATAGAAAATTTTTATTCAGAAAATGATAAATCATTTTACTTAAATGCCATTCTAATCTAATATTTTTTCTTTTATAGATGTAAACCTTTCTGGTGTTCATATATCGTATGTTTCATAAATCCTTCAAGCTTTTCTGAATATTTGTATCTAGACCAAATATCTGCTATCTTTTTGTCTTCCCATGTGCTTGATAAAGAAAACTTGATACTGTGTTTCAATGCTGAGAGACTTGACATTGCCTACTCTTCCGCGAAAGTTTAGACACGCGATTTCATTAGTACTGAAAAATCTACAGAGAACATATTATACGTTTGTGCTACGTCCCAGTTTTTCTCTGACATTTTAAGAGTAACATGTCAACTTTTCTCAGATATAAAATCATGTCTTACCTTACTGATAACGTGTGGTAGAAATGTCGCTGGCAGACTAGTGTGCACGTTTTTTTTTATCATAAAATCCTAGCAGGGTTACTTTATTTTTATGTCGCTTAAGAAAATTAAGATAAACATTTATGATTCAAAACATAAATAAAATCTCTATCATATTCATGTCTCAGAAAATCAAATGTGCAATACTATATTTCAAAACAATGATTCCCGTTTTTTTGTATGTTTCTGGTAAATATTTGCTTTTTGTGTTCCATTAACATTCAATATCTTCAGTTTGTCTTTGAAAGTGAAAACGTGTAATAGAATTAACTCTGCTGGAAGAAAGTAAATGTTTAAAAATAAAAAATTTTTCCTTGCATTTGAGCAATGCATTCTGTCATCGACCTTTTCTGTGTATTGTTTATTGATCTTTCATCACATTTTCAACTCCTTTCGAAACTATAGCGTAGAAAAGCTTTCTTCGTTATATTTGGCTAATAAATTTGTTCCTATGACACTTTTATTTGTCCCTCTTTGTTATTACCTAAATCTGTGACCAGAAAAAAGTAGATAAGAATTATATTCGTTACGTTTTTAAAACACGATTTTGCTTTTGTATGAATACAATGAGCTTCACAAACTCGCTGTTTATCAAAATAAACATTTTTACTTTTAACCTATTCTCAGTATAAATAGGACAAACTTCACGAGATTTGAAAACATTATAATAATTATTTTCTCTATTTGGATAATATGATCCTCGTACAAACTGCGTCTTCAGAAATTTTCCTACGTAATCGCTATTTTTTTTTAGAGCACGCATTCATATATACAGAGCTCTGAGCACACACTTACATACATATGCACTCATAGCGTTCTAATGATAATTCATACTCATGGGTAACCAGTAAATAATATTTTGACTAACCATTAGGATAGTTGTTTGGTTACAGTTGACGGCCAGTAAATTTTTTCTCAATTCTATATATTGTAGTATTTCACCAAACAAAAGTCGGAACAGAAGGGAAATATTGACGAAAATATGGCGAAAATTTCTGATCATAATTCAAAACTCGAGGAAGATATCGGCAAATTGGAAATGTCGACAAAAATTGATTTGAGTAATCGAGCCTTAACTGATCAAGACATGAATATTGTTGTTCAAGGTACAATCATCCTTAAGCAATGCCCTTCTCTATGGTTATACGATAACTTCATTACATCTCAAGGTGTTCGAATTTTAGCTGATAGTCTACGAAATAATAATACTTTGCAAGAATTATTTCTCGACGGTAATCAAATATCAGATATTGGGGTAGATTCCTTATCACTGATTCTGAATCATTCGGGTTTACAATCATTAAGTCTATCAGAAAATGGTATCACAGATCAAGGTGCTGAATATTTAGCTGAAGCTCTCAAGAATAACAGAACACTACGACGTCTTTGGCTTTATCATAATCAAATAGGTGATCATGGAATGCAAAGTTTGACTAGTGCACTCACACATAATAATACGACTCTCGAATGGTTAGATCTTCGTTGTAACAAATTGGTAACCAATGCCAGTGTTGATACTTTAATTTTAATGATAGAATCGAATCAATCTTTGAAAAAATTTTGGATGGAATATTGTAGTTTATCCTATGAATGTAAAGCAAAACTTCGACAACTTGCCAAATCAAAGGCGAACTTTGAGTTAGGTGCTTAGACAACAACTTTCACTGAATAAACGAAATCATATTACTGCATAAGATTTTGCATCCGTAATAAACTATTTTAATTATATAGATACAGACTTCTGAATAAAAATGCATACATCATAATGTCTAGATGAGCGGGATGTGAAGCATAAGAGATACAAGTGTGTGATTCATTTTTATGATTGTTAATACGTATGCATTCTGAAAGACACTCATTGACGATGAAGTATACCCTTTTCTGATGGCTACCTACAAACTTACGTTCACTCATGCTTCATAAGATACGTGATAATTGATTTTCACTCGGCAGTTTTTATTTTAATCTAAACTTCAAAAGATGTTGTCACGTCTTGAATCTCTAGCTTCTGTGTTCAAGATTTTTCTAAGATAGAAGAAGGAAGTTATCTTTCGAATGCTATTTTTTTGTGAAGTGACATAATGATGTTGGCAATGTGTTTCTACCTAATGGCAAAGCAAAATATCTTAATACTCATTTAAAATACACGAGGTAAAAAGCAAATGATTTCATTTGATTTGTTATTCTTATAAATTACTCACAAATTGTGTACCTATCGAAATTTTACTATTTTCAATTATCTTTGTTGAACATGTTTTGTTCTGTTACAAATTAATTGTGTATTCAGAAATGCATAATACCGATTTGTACAATGCTTTTTATCTTTACTTTAAATTTAAACAGAAACAAAAGAATGAGCAAAATCATTTATTTAACCGCAAATCATCAATCAAAGCAATATCTTCATCACCTTTCTCACATTCACTAACTATCGTGAATTATTCTGAGCATTAATCTCAGATAAAATATTCATGCCACCGATGTTACAAATCAAAGGAAATTTAATTTTAATAATACAATGAAGAAGTTTCAAAAAATCTGTCGATGGTTTCAATGATTTCCTTGTGGTGTGATCGTTAGTTTAGAAAATTATATTACTTTTCTAAAAGATTTATTACATTTTGCCTCAATATTCTTATCTTAAGTTTTATAAGCAAGCGAATTTTGTCGAAGGGCAAAGACAACAATAGTTATCAAACAAAGATCAACATCAGCGATGAATATATATATAAAGAGCAAAAAGAATGATAATAGAAGTGTAAATATCAACACAGATTTTCTCTGCATTTACAACTGTTTTTCTTCTAAAGATGTATCAAGGAAAATTAGCTTTTTTCTTCCTATCTACTATTATTCTTATTGGTCAGTATGAATCGACCCCATTAGACGATTATGTAAATGCACCCGATCCACATTTTGGTTGGACTATTATTGACACATATGAAGCACCTGATTATAAATTGTATATCTTAAATTTTACGTCACAAAAATGGATTGATGGTAAATTCTTTTGAAATAAATGAATTCTCTTTCTTATAGAATTTTATTTCTTCTTCTCTTATAAGAACGATTTTCTTCTCGGTCGATCTGGTGGCACTACTTGTGTATCACTGTTCCAAATCGTCTTACGCGGCCGAATACAGCATTTCTATTGATCGATGGTGGTTCCAACACAGACGGGTTAGAAGAAAAAAAACATCTTCGATAAAAATAGTATGATGAATCTTCTTTCAGTATTCCAAAACCAAACGATGAATCTGTTGAATTAATGTCGATGTTGGCTTTGGGTACTGGAAGTATCACTGCTGATCTTCAAGACGTTCCTAATGTACCTATTCGGTTCATGGCAAGTTTTCTTTTCAATAACTCATAGGAGCTATCAATGTTATGCATGCTTATACTATGTGTAGAATGATCCAACAAATCAAACTCGTAATGATAATGCTGCACTTGCTTGGACTTGGAAAGCATTTATTGATAATCAATCAAATCCAGCAATATTGATGCATTTGCCAATGACCAAAGTATTGAACTATGTTTTCCATAGAGTAGCGAACGAAACTATGACACATATTACATTTAAGTAGTCTTATTTCATTTCTGATTGGTTTCAAACAAAATGAATACATATAGGTAGATAGACCATAATAAGCACTTGACAACCATCATTCATTCTACGTCTACTACGGCAGTAAGATCATATAGCTATAATTCTGATATTACTCTGTTTAATTAGTGAATCAAAGAAATAGATAAAATACTCGTTTTGATGTGTCTATCATGATATTATTTCATTTCCCTATGGACAGATTACTATTGTAGAGTAAATTTTGTTATAGGCTTCAATTCGAGCTATGGACGCAATTCAAAACTTTACAGCTCATTTAAGTATTCCTGTACCAGAAACATTTATTGTCGGTGGTGCTTCTAAAGTAACTTGTTTTTATTCTGTTTTATGAGCTTCCATTAATATTTAATTGTTTCGGTAGCGTGGATGGACAAGTAAGTAATGTTGCGAGTGTAGATTATTTTTTAATTTGGCTCGCTCATACATTACAATTAGCATGGAATGCAGCTTCAGTGGATCCAAAGCGTGTTATTGGAGCAACACCGATTGTCATGGATTTATTGAATTTACAAAGCGTAAGCATAAAATTTAAGTGCAGTTTCTTTATATTATCAAATATTCTTATAATAGAATTTACATCATTTATATCGAGTAAGTAAAGATTGACAATACAAACGATTGTATTGTGAATGCATGTAGTCTTTGGTCGGTTGGACATTTGCATTGAAAGATTTCTATGCATTGGATATATTTCCGTTTATTGATACGGATAATTTTACTCAAATGGCAAAAATCATCGACCCATTTAGTAAACAATCAAATCTATTATTATATATTTCTATATTGATTTTAACTCTAGATTATTTTAATCGGTACAAGTCAATAAAAACGTTACAAATTCAAACAACTGGCGATGAATTCTTTCTTCTCGATAATGAGATATGTTCACTACCGTCATAACTTTCAGAAAGTATACATATTATTCTTCGTTTTGTTTTTCTAAGATGCTTTTTGGAAAGAACTTCAACTTACTACCGGTGGTACATATCTCAGGTAGTGTTTTGTCATCTATTGATATTGTGAAGAGTAAAGAGAACATGTTTAGACGAATACCAAACGCCGAACATCAATGCATTGGTCATTTGATCAGTATTGTTCTAACAATACAAAGTTTCTATTTGAGTGTTTATGACGTAAACATATAGACAATACTGAGAAGTAGAACTATTCTGTTGATATATTTTTTTCTTTTCAAGAATAAACCCTTGCCTTCGTTAACATGGATAAAATCATCAAACAATACTCATGGATACATTCGTGCTACGATTGATTTTAGTGTCGGACCAAAGCCAATCAGTGCTATTGGTTATCGAGCTCGAACACTAAATGAGAAACGGTATTGAGAGAAGATCAATTTTTATTTAATTATATGTATTCTTATCAAATAGACGTGATTTTCGTCTATTCATTGCCGATCCTAGCAATCCAGTTAAGCCAATGCCTAATCCAGTTTTTTGGTTTACGACTTCACTTGTGACAGAAGTATAAATTACATTCTAGTCGTGCATAATACACAATGAATTTTGCAATATAATTTTAGGCACAAACTAATACTACAATTGTCTGTTCGTTGACAATCGAATATCCTCAAGAAGGTTGGGAAGGTTTCTTCATTCAAGTTAATTTTCCTGGTCCAAATGGTTCAGTATTAGAATTAACGACTGAAACACAAATCGTTCCTGACACTTATCCAACCGATGACTGTCACAATGAAAGTTGCGCTGGTACACTCGTTTAATACTTGTGCATTTTTCGTCCTTTTGTTTTATGTAAACATATTGTGCATTTTCTTATGTAATTAACTGAGCAATGAATGACACTGGAGAGAGAGAGAGAGCCGGTTATATTTATAGTCTTTCTCGCATCTGTCCACATTTAGAAACAATCGTTTCAATACTTCGATGGAGCGACATCTTTGAATTTTTTAAATTTTTTATCAAACCAGTCTTAAAGTAATTCTTTATTGAAATTTTCTCTAGTTTTACTGATCGAATCTTCGAAATGAATGAAACGACCCCTAGGTAATAGAATATGAAAGCAACAGTTCATTTTTGACATGAGGTATATTTTGTTTTCCAAGTTCATACTATGTGATGTTGTTTATTTGTGCGTCAACCGGTAGGAAGTAGGAAAAAACTCGCTGCGATTTTGATCAAAACAGAAAGAACGAACTTTTTGCTCTTTACTTACTTTATGCGACGTTGCAACACATGCTTTATTATACTGTATATCTAAAAAGAAATTGTAAGTAATCAAGAAGACGCAATGAGTTTAGAATTGCTACCCAATGAAATCTTACTTGATGTTTTTGATTACTTGAATGGCATTGATCTTCTGCGTACATTTTATGGGCTCACATCTCGTTTTAATATCCTTCTTCATGAACGGTTTCAAAATTGTTCTATCGAATTGAATTCAGTGTCAAAGCGTGATTTCGATAGGATATGTCAACAACATCTACCAGCCATGTCCGATTATATTGTTGCTCTTAATATTTCTGACAGTGAAGAAACTCCAGCACAAATAAAACAATTTCTTCAATATGTTCCATCATTCAATGGATTCACTCGACTTCAATCTCTTTCATTATTTAATCTTCGTTCATATCATACACTAAGAAAAATCATTGAACAATGTTATAATCTTGGTAATTTGACTCATTTAAACTTTTTCTCTTGCTATTTACAAGAGAGTCAAGTTGACTTTCAATTAATCGTTAATCATATTTGGAGTTTATCCAAACTAATTTATTGTTCGTTTGGTATTGGAATCAAAGGTCAGTGTTTGTTTGGTATACCAACAAAAATTTCATTGTCTCTCGAATATTTATCTATCGACAAGAATCAATTGAAATTAAATCAAATCGATCGATTAATTGAGCATACACCTAATCTTAAATGCCTTTCGATATCTGTACCATCGTTTGTCGATAATCATTATGTATCATCTCCTCTTCCAAATCTGGTAGATTTAAATATAAATTCTTTGTTTCCATGCAATGCTTCGAAGATGGATATTCTCTTGAAAAATACACCAAACTTACGTCGTTTGACGGTCCTTTTATCATCTGAACTCATCCATGGTAATCTATGGGAAGAAATCATTCGTAAATATTTACCAATGCTTCAATTTTTTCGACTTAAAATGAAAGTTATGCTGCCACTGGGACAACATATGCAAGAGCGAGCTGATGATTTGATCGATTCATTTCAAAGTTCATTCTGGATTGATGAGCATCAATGGTTCGTGCGATGTCTTACATGGAATAGAACGATTTATGTGTATACTGTTCCGAATCAATACGAAGACAATCTCCCCGTCTCATTTAGATCAACCTATCCTTTCGACAGCCAACAAGATTTTTATCAAAGTATAACTCAAATCATATCTCCGACATTATTTGATCAGCCCATTCCATCACGTATATGTTTGCCTAAAATTAATTATCTATGTATAAATCTTCCCATAAATGATTCATTCTGGTCTATTGCTCCAATTTTGAACCAATTGAAATCACTTAAAATACTAATGCATACGAATGCATTCCAATCTCAGGTACAAGAATTACTTAATCGAGCTCCTCGTCTAATAAAACTAAGTATTAATCAGTACGAATCAATATCATTGCAAACAGCATTGTTCAAATATACAAATCTATCGGTTTGTGAACTCGATTTACGAAACATTAACCATCATTTCAACGAAGAAGACTGTATTCGATTGAGTCGATCGCCATTAGGTGTTCAATGTGAGACACTATCTATTTTGGTTCATAATCGTGACAGCATTATTTCTCTCGTCGAAAATATGCACAAATTACGAGCATTAAATATTCGATGTAGAGATGAAACGTATGTTGAATCAACAGTATCAATGGAAGAAAGCAGTGCAGAATACTATAATGATGATGAAGAAAATAAAGATGACTGCATACTATGGTTAAAAACTCGTTTATCATCCACTTGTGTCATCGTTAGAGATCCAAAACTTACATGTAATCTTCTAATCTGGATCTAATGACCAAAACATATAGATAATTATATCAAGTGATCACAAATCGTTCTTATTTCAAGCAATTTTATTCATGAATATTTGTACTTTTAATACGAAATAAAAATCAGTACGTTGTACGATACGAGTTCCATTTTATAAAAAATTCTCAGAAGTAAACTTGAAAATTTAACTTGCTGCTACATATTAGACAATATTTCTTTTGACTAGTTTTTACTTTCGTAAGCGTGATGAAAGTAAAATTTCTATGCAGATCTACAATCACAAAAATCCCTATTACAATAACATACGATAGTGATAAGTCATGAACGATTTGTACAAATGAAAAAAATTGAGATAGAACCAGTTATTTTTTTAATAAGAATGACTAAAGCTAACAAGTCGAGAAAATGTGTTTTCAAGAAATATCGACCTATATAAAAATCAAAAGAAGTTGTTCACAAATAGTACTGTATTGATAGTCTTAACACTTTTGTTTTGGAACGGATAGTAGATCTACTCCAATGAATAGATGCGGATGAATACGCCCTCTGTTGTTTTCTGGCTTGCTTGCATCCGGAAAGAAATAAAAATAAATGCTAACGATTGGTCAATCTGTTGTAATTTTTCATTGCCCTATCGTCAAAAAGTTAACTAGCTACAATCAGTGATAAATAATATTGACATATTTGTGTTATCTTGAAATATCTATGATTCAATCGGTTCAATAAGTGCGTTTTTTGTTTTTGAGGCATGTGTGCATTCATTTCAATGCTAAGTAACATGTTTTGTCTCTTTTTCTGTTCTCTTCTTTTGTCTTCATATGCGTAGTCGAGTTTAGCTTTGCAAGTAGCAAACTAAAATGAGTAAATTTTGATAAATTTTATGCAAAAGAGCAAGAAGATTAGATTCCAGTCGGATTAGTTTTGTTTTTAACACTGTCATTCGCTACGATCAAAACATCAATCGTCTTTCTACTGTGTTCGTTAATAGTAAATATCAGAGATTTGCGACTGATGTTTTCATAGTCATCACATACAACAAATGAACTAGTTAACTATTATGGATACTCAGCAGGTGGACTGACTTTATACTTTGTCTATTTAACTTTATTTTATTAATCACAACAGACAATTGAGTTAGAAATCATGTTTTATATTTTCGAGTTAGATAATCATGCAATTAGTCATTTCACATGATTTTGTAAGTTATAATATTCCAAGATTGATTACAGTAAATATGCCTTTTCAAAAAATGTAATCTCAAGCTCATGTAAATTTTTCAATAACTTCTGTTTTTAATTATTTCAGTTACCTGATGAGTCATTTGGATTGAGTAAAGTTTTCCATTTAGAATTAGTATTAAAAATATAATTCTCATTTTTAGAATCATACAAAGGAAATGTGTGCTGCTGTTCGAGCAGCTACTGCTTCAAATGCTCGTATCTTGTCTTCATTAAAACCACCTCCAAATGTAGTTGTCGTTGGTGGTACATCAGGTATTGGTCGAGCAATAGCTCTTTCAGTAGCTCGTCATTGTCCATCGGCTGATATTACTATTATCGGACGAAATGAATCTGCTGCTAATTCTATTCTATCACAATTAGGTTCAAGTTCCAAATTTCTTCGTGCCGATGTTTCACTTCTGTCAGAAATTCGAGCCGTAACAAAAAAGATCAATAAAGTAGACATGCTGATATTAACACAAGGCATTTTAACAATGGCAGGTCGAACACCAACAACGGAAAATATTGACAATAAATTGGCTTTACATTACTACGGTCGTGTTTTATTCGTACAAGAACTTCTTCCACTACTTCGTTTGTCGTCCAATGGAAGCAAAGTTCTATTCGTATTGGACAGTGTCAATGGCAATCCGTCGAAAATAAATTGGAATGATATGGCACTTGAAAATTCCTATTCTCTTTCTTCAGCTGCTCAACATGCGACGTCATTCACTGATCATGTCATACAATATTTTGCTTTGCAACCAGAAAATAGAAATATAACATTTACTCACGCATTGCCAGGATTTGTTCGTACGCCAATTATTGATAGTTTACCATTTTGGGCTCGATTACCATTAAAATGTAGCTTAGCCTTAGGTTTAGGTGTCAGTCCAGAAGATTGTGCCGAACTAATGATTTATGGAATGTTTGGAACAGAGAAAGGCTATCGATATGTTGATGATAAGGGTGAAACAGTCAACAAAAAGCATCCAATACAAGAAGACATGGTAACAAAAGTTTGGGAACACACATCTCGAATGATTTCTTCGAATTAATTGAAATCAGACGTCGTATTAACTCCTTTTTTTGTAAAATTAATGAATATAACTTCTTAAATGCTTGCACTTGACCTAATTAATAAGCTATTTTATATGTTATCGTAGATTAATGCTGAAATCTCATCGGTTCTTAGCGAAGAAAGGTGTGTCGATTTTACATTGATAACAATCCACGAATAGAGAAAAACAGAATAGCATAGCGAATATAGTTTTTAATCAAGTTTAGAAACTTGTGATGATACTTTTGAAGAACGGGTTTATGTTTTGATTAAGCAATTTTAAGATTTAAGTCAATGTATTGGTGAATACTTATAGAAATTGTGCAAATACAGATTATTACATAGGAAAGAATAAATAATTTTGTCCATTCCTATTCATTCTTTCTAAAAACAATCATCTGAAATAACAAGTCATAAAATAAAATGAACGATCGAAATGGGTGTTATAAAGTATTTTTTGTAAGTGACTCCATACTGAATAGATCGCCAGACACACGTGTTTCATGTTATGTATATCAGAGACTTTGTTCAACTTTTATTAATTTCAGTTATGCGTCTCGATCTTTTCTACTCAGTATTTAATAATAATTACGTGTAGGCCCAGTACGGATACACAACGATAGATAAACACTTACGTCACGCGTGAATGTTCTCTCAAGCATGAGCGACACATTATTGCCTCTTTTACTACATACTAGTTACATGCACACATATTTGAATAAACAAGAGTCAGGTGCGTGTTTATTTTGCTGAATTTGTATTCGTATTTAGGCTTTCATAGTTTTACTATTGAAACGATTCATCAACTAATCAGTAATTTTCAATATGATCTATTTTTGCTAGATATCATCGTGTGACGAAAAGTGTAACCCCAATAGCGTTTCAGTGAAAACAGTTAGGCTTTATTTTCAGACTTTCGTCTTCTTAGACAGTGAAAATAATGAGAATAGTCATTGAAAGTGTCGTAATTCTTGCACTGAAATCTTTTTTTCGTCCGATACATTTGAGACAATTGTTGAATTATGATCAATGTTAAAATTGAGAACCTTGTAGTTTTAAACGAAAGATGAAAAGACAACATCTACCATTTTATATGAGTGACATCCAGGCGTACCCGAAAATATCAAATTATGTAATTTGAAAAGTGTTAGTAAGTTCTTTGAATAGCAAACATGATTCTTTAAAGATGCATTATATTCAAATGTTAAGAATATAGATTCAACGGAAATCAAGAAAGATACATAAAACTAAACATGAATTCTTACTTTTTGATACCAATATTAATCGATAAATCCATCGATATTGTATTTTGCAAAGTGTTTCGTTCGAGACAGATTAAGGGGAAAACAATGAATATTAATACAATACATTTAATTTCTTCGTTTTTTTTCTCAGTTAAAACGCTTTTATTTTGTCTACTTCATATCAGCATGAACTAAAACACGAAGGTTGTTCATAATCAGTGACACTTCAAAATTCAATATACACATCCGTTTTATTATTCGTGTCTCTTCAAATTCCTCTGGTCTCATGTTAGCATTCTAAGTACTGCATAGTTTTAATTTAAATCTAACCTATGGAAGTATACATTGAGTTTGCTGTAGATTTTGTCGTAGCATAATATTTTACTCAATAGAGTACGTGCAACTATTGAAATAATCTCAGTAAATTCTAACATTCTTTTCATAATTCACAATGAAAGATTCCTAGTTCAGAATGTTTTATGTAACTCTTGCGTTATACCAATCATTTACTTCCAATATCTAATGCACCAACAGAAAATATGTTCTTGAGAGATTTGATTAGTTTAATGTCCACAATTTCAGCAATATTCAAGACAAATCGATAATAAAAATGAAAGAAAAAAATCATTAGGCATTTTTTACACATTTTCTTTTCATTTCATAATGGAATGTATCAATAATCATGTCAGACAATGTACAACATGTTTATGTAATTCATAAAAAAAACGTAGATTTAACGTATTTAGGTACATTTTTGATACGATGTGCTCTCTAATAGATCATTCTAGATAGAATATTTCATTTACTATGACAACAACAGACGTTCGAGGATTTCATGATACAATAGAACTAGTATCGAATACCGGAATACAAAAAGCACAACAAAGAATCGATCATATGATCGTCAAATCATTCTTAGCTGGCGTTCTTTTATCGTTTGGAGGTCTATTTCTTCTAACGGTAGGCGCTGGCAGTACGCCGCTACGTCAAAATCTTGGTCCCAGTATACACAAAATGATACAAGCCGCCGTCTTTCCTATTGGTCTTGTTTTAGTAGTTATGACTGGTGCTGACTTGTTTACGGGAAATACTATGATTTTGATTGTATCAACATTACATAGAAAAACAACATGGCTTAATCTGATTGTTTCATGGACTGTCTCATTTTTTGGAAATCTTGCCGGTTGTTTATTTTTTCAGTGTATACTTGTATATTATGCAGGTCTTCTTTCGAATGATCCTTATCGTTCATTTAGTGTGCAACTTGCCGAAGTTAAAGGTAACATAGAATGGCATCAGTTATTCTTACGAGGTATTGGTGGCAATTGGCTTGTATGTCTGGCATTGTGGTTAGCTACAAGTGCACGTGAATTACATTCAAAAATAATCGGTATTTTTCTACCTATCTGGCTTTTTGTTGCTGTAGGATATGAACACTCTATTGCTAACATGTTTACAGTTCAAATGGGTATGATGTTAGGCGCTGATTTGTCGATTACAAAATATATATTACATATATTGATACCCGTAACGCTTGGAAACATTATAGGTGGAGGATTTTTTGTTGGTTTTACATATTGGTATCTTTATTTGGCGAAAACGTCAAACACCAGCACTAAAACTACTGTTAGATTTTCGACCAAAGACGGTTATCAAGTCGCGAAACAACATGATAACTTAGATCTATCTCATCAACCTTAAACTTACTTATTTTTATCAAACATTATAAACGAGTTTTTGGCGTAGTTTTATTATTTTCGGCAAGCATAAGTAGAGTAGCACGTGCAAATGAAGTTCAAAGTCTTTTAATTGTGCAATGGTCTTTGTTTGTGGTGCTAAGAAGATATCAGTTCTATGACATGAATTTTCTCGTGACCGAAATAAAGTTCAGACTTTTAAGTTATTTCCATAAAAATAATCATTTTACTTGAGTAAGATGTCAATCGTTATTATCCCCTAATCTACGTTCTAAATAATTCTTTCGACAGTCTCATCTAAAATTGAAAATATGCAAGCCTTTGTTGCAACACTTGCGATATCATATCACCCAGATACATTCTCACAGTAGTGGTGAATGGTAACATATGTATGTATCTTTGAGTATGAGTCTGACATCTGTGCGTATACTTCTACATTCGCTTCTCTCATTTTCGTTCTTTCATTTATGTGAAGTAATAAAAAAAATCATGTGGTGAGTCAAGCTGTCATTTTTTTTTCTGTTAGCTCTAAATCAATTGATTCATGAAAAATCATATACACGTGAAAACATATTATGTTTTGATTTCAAATGATTAAATTTTCGTATTGCAATGATCTAAGTACCGTCGAAAGAGTATTATAATACCTCGAAAAGTTTACTTTTTTGGCAAACGAACGTTATTCGAAGTGCATGTGATAATATGAGGTTACAAGAAATATGTTGCATCTTGTTCCTTTCATTCTTGCATATATGGTAAGAAGGAGAGCAAACTATCCTAAATCATAATTATGATTTATTACTTAATTTCGAACACGTTTAATAATACCAATAGTGAAGTAGATTATGATCGAAAATAATCGATCGATTGAATTGAATACACTTGATTGTGTCGACACGGTGCTTTTACTTGTTCATCGATAAACTAGAAATATGAATCATTTCATTTTCTAAGGTTTTCTTCTTTGTTTTAGATGGCCTCTGATATGAGTTATTTTGATCGATTGCCCAATGAAATTCTCGAACAAATATTCCTTTCATTGTGTCACCTACCACCTGTAACTAAAACTAATCATGTTCCTATCACGTTGCATTCATTATATTTCGACTATTCTATTCAACAACCACTATTGAAACAAACTCATAGAGATCTTCTCTCCATTTCACTTGTTTGCCGACGTTTCTACCAAATCCTTAAATCACCAGCATTTTGGCAGCGAAAATGTCTTCATGATTATGTTTTGCTGCCTACTCAACATTTTCCTTCTAGCTTCACATCCTATGAAAAACTCTACATTAGCAATCCTTTTCATCCATCGTTCAATCTAATCAAAGAGAACAAGTGGACAAAATCTCAAAATACTGATTCACAAGTTGAATTTACTCCATGTGGCAGTAATCGACTCTATGATGAATTTAATCGTTTATCTATCTGTCGTGTAACATCTTATACCTGGGGGAAATTCATTCAGCGTGATATTCAACTGCTTAGCAACAAACTTTCCTGGAATGATGTAAGCTACTGATAGTTAAGCTTACAGAGGTATATCTGTTGACATTTTCGTTTCTACCTATTCTCATTTTTAATAGTTAAAACAACTGAATCGATTTTACTGTACTTTAAAAGAACATATAGAAAGACTTTGTTTGCTTCGTTGATTGGCATAAAAATGCCTCAGCTTTCATATGGTCAAAACTCAGATAAACGTTTGAGAATTTAGTCTGATTCAATGTTCTATAAGTTCTGAAAATTATTAATATTGAAACAATTGGAAAACGAAGAAATTTTATTTCTAGATTGCATGTCTACATCCAATAATTGAATTTTCGGTGTGCGTGGCTCCACGATGGGATTGCGCTTCCGAATGTCGAATCTGTCTGATTTTTTCTGACGAACATCGTTGGGAGTGCGAACGAACTTTTCCGCAATGGAATGATAGCAAATGGCATCGGTTGACTTATCTCTACAGACATTATGAACATTTTCCCGCATCAGTCACTGTTCATTTGTCTGGTAAAGATAGACAAGGGTGGGCAGGATTCTATGGTGCCAAGTTTGCTCAAACTCGGATTCGATTACTCTTCCATACAGATGAAAATGAGTCGAATCAAGAGAATGAAACAATTATTGAACCACAAATTGAGACTGAAATTAACCAGGATCCACAACCTGAGCCTGTACCAGACAAGTTGCCCATAGATGATGGTGTCGTTCATCAGAATTCTACAACACCTTATTTATCATTTAACGAATCTGATTCAGACTTCGATTAATCTCTCCGTTTGAATTTACTTCGTGAAATTATTACAAAACTTAACTTTCTCTTTCATCTTTCTCAAAGATCGAATGAGGAGGGAAACACTAGTTTTGCGTCATCTAGTAGATGAAATTAGACAATCTGTTTTCTCAAGAAAAAAGGATTCGATACTAGGAGCATAAGTATTTTTTGAAAAATATTCTAATACTTTTGATTGTCTTACAAGCTTTCAGTTTCGTAAGATTATCTAGTTAGTGTATCGAATTTCTTTTTGTTCAAGAGAAGAAATTATGAAACAAATCACAAATATGCAAGTTTTCATGAATGTGACTCAAATACTCTAATTATTAAAAGATCACTCATTCGCTTGCTGACACATGCACACCACCTTTTTCGCAGTAATATTTTGTCATTTTTCAGCAAAGGTCGAAACGATAAGAGTTCTGTTTTCGTTGGTTCACTCAATTCTGCTGGAGCCCATATGGATTAGATACTGTTCACGGTTGATCATGTTATAATTTTAACTAAACATTCACAAAACAAAACTACGTCATTCGTCTATGATGAGGGTGAAGATGTTCAGTGGCTTGATGAAGTGCAGATAACTATATCGGAGCAGGAGATGTAGGATCTCGTAAAACCAGATTAAATTGTAATTACAAAACAATCAAAGTATCAAACATCTTTCACTACATTGTGTTCTAAAACTTTTGAAAGATCTGACCATCTCATAAGATTTTCTACTATTTTACAAGACAATGGATACTAATCAAGAATGTTACAGTATAACTTAATGAAAAATTTCACAGACTACACCGTTTTAACTTAGTGAGAAAGTATTGCTGAGCAAATTTCGAATACATGTTATGCGCTTTGATATTAATTATTCTTATCTACAATTTAAGATTTTATTTTGGCTAAAATTATTTAGAACATCACGCATTCATCTGCTAACTTTGTCATGATTGGATTTCAATTTACGGTCGATACTTTTAGGAAAGTAATCTGGCGGTATGATGTTTTTACACTTAAATTTCGTAGATATTTCATATGCAAACTTGTTTATCAGCTGTATCATATCTGCCCTTCGTAGATAAAGAAAAACTAAAAGAGTAATTCACGTGCTCGATGATAAATATCTCTTACCATTTAAAAGAGTAAACATAGAATGTCGGTAATTTTCTGGTTGACTTTTACCGGTAACTTTTACTTCGACTTACTCATTTGATTTAGACAAGTACTTTTCGTTTATTACAATAATATTTCGTAAGATAGAATATGAATCGTATTGTACTAAACTTCAGTGATCATTTTCTGTTATTTAATGTTGACATAAAGTAAGGAGATTGATGTTTTAGATTCAGTATAGGATAAATTCTGTTTTTTTCAACACAGATTATTCTTCAGTATTAGTAAAATCATCAACGCTTTTCTCCAATCAATAGTTAGAATTTTACTTTTTTAATAATATCGACTTTTTTTTTAAATTTTAATTAAAGAGAGAAATGTCCAATTTATGTAGAATAAAAAAAGTACTAGTCACTTGTTCTCACACTGCCATGACATATCCGCATGAAAATTTTATTAATCATGTTTTTATCATCTTCAGTAATTTGATTCATTTGTCTAAGTTATTCTCTGATATTTCTACTTATTCTCCTCAAAGATGTCTTCTACCAAACGTGAAAATCAATCTGATATCGAATCATACAAAACACCATTTTCTGTCTCTCAATTAATCATTAGCTTACTACTCGGTACATATTTTCTAACCGTGGAAATCATTGAATTGAGCTTGTCAACTTATGCTTGGAAACAAAATAAATTAGAAGTTTATCAGCAGTACTTAATATTCAAAAGTGAAGCACCCATTTGGAAATATTGGCAATTATTTACAACTTTGATTGTACCACTAACTATTTTTGCGACAACGAAAGATTTATTTCAAATTCTAACGAAAAAAGCGACAACTCAACGTCATCTATTAGATATCATCGCAGCGTTTCAATTGTATGGTATTCTATACACGATTATTGCACGTATAATGCCTTTGGAAAGTCGGCTTATCGAAGAGACATCAAAAGATATAGCACATGACTTGAATATGATTCATTGGATTGCATTTATGTTAAATATTCTCGGATGGTGTATACCAATCTTTCGATACAGAGAATCAAAATACGCTAAATATTTTCATCTTGAAAAGAAAAAAGAAGAGTAATGAATTTAGTTGTCCTTCTTACCATGCACTCATCGCTTATATTAAATTATTCAAAGGACATTCTATGTGACTTCCACGAATCCTGATCACCATTTAGCCTACATGTACTTAGCTTGTGTAAAACATTCATTACAATTTTTTTTCTTTTCATTTGTATTTCTTTTCATTTGATTTGATTTAAAAAGAACCTGTAACACAGAACATCTTTCTTTCGGAGTCGAGAATGTCGGAGGAAAAGTGAGTCACGAAAAAAAAGATTTATGTTATAACAAAGACAACTCACGGGTATAAACTCATTTAGATACGTTCCCTTGGAAAGAAATTTATTGAACATTTTCTTTTATCTGATGGGATGCAAATATAGAGTCCACGTTTTAAGTAATCCAGTCGCAGCTCTTAGTAGTTGTTTATCAGACGTCATTGTGAATGCTTTCTTCATTCGCTCATTATTTCTAATGTCAACGAGAAAGATGTACGTAGATCGATATATTCAGAAGCAATGCTAGTGTTTCATCTGTGTTACTTCTTACCGAATATCTCTTTTTCTCCGATGTACAAATGTTGATGCGTAGTCTCAAAGAAATTATTTTATGCAATTCACTCACAACTTTTATCATCAGACGTAAATTTCGCAACTTTCCTACATGTAAACACATCTGAAATTTGGATTCTGCATGGTATTCACAAAGACATAGTTAGTTCACTCCTTTCATTATGAGAACGACGGAGAACCAAGTAAATACTATCTCCATAATGAATATTTTTAAAGATTCTGATACACGATGTTCTCGAATAAGTGATCTAAAAAGTAGAAGTGAATTGGAAGATGCAAACAGTGGCAATGCAAACAGAAGGGGAATAGATGGAAAAGTATAGAAAGGAAGACGAATGCCGAAACATTAAACATCGATAAGAGTACACCTGAGAGTTATTTGACGCTTTTCTTGGTTAGTAGATGTCCTTAATTGGCGATTGAGTTTTTAATGATTGAGCCTATCTTGTTATGGTTCTTCTGATCATAAGTTGATCGAAATAATAGAAAAGGTTTGTTAGAAGATGAAATCTGATCAGATGCTTTACATTGAAGAATATACGATTGACATACGAAAGATGCTATCGAAAGATTTATTCGATCTGATGACGCGAATAAGTCAGCGTACTCGAAGAAAATAGGTTTCACAACGAGTAATCATCACCTTTTTATACAATGGCTTTGCGGAAAGTAAAAGTGATGCATTGAAGCAAAATAAAATCGACAGAAATATTTTTGTTTCATCACTATAAATATACAAGCTAGTAGTGGTTAATAGAAAATCGAATTCTGTGTATTCAACTAGCAAAAATAAAGGGATCCATATTATTTCTGCTTTGAGTATTTACAAAAAAGAAAGAACAAAATAATAAACGCTTGATCACACTCGCCAATAGTTACTAAAAGAAATGCTTAAAATACGAAGCACTATTGGCATACTTAAATGAAGGTTGTTCAGCGAACTTACGCATCCTTCATACATGCTATTTTAGCTTATGTTCAACCAGAAAAAAAGCTAAAAGCGTTGGTCGTTATCGGACTTGTTCGTCGAACAAAAAGCACGTCATTGAATTGCGTCTCCATTGTCAAATACTTCCTGCAAAACAAACCCAAATTACACTAGTCTCACAAGACTACTTTTCCTAGACACGCACGTGAACTTTTAAGAGCTTCTGAAAAATTTTAATCAAATGGAATATTTTTTTGTTGAGTTATGGAATTATATTTTTCTGATATGTTTTCTTTCTTTTGATTACGCCAATATGGTTAAGAAATTCATTAATAAAAACTCTAACTATCAAATTACCTTTGAGTCGTCTAGTTTCATTACTTAATGATCTTCATCTAGGAGTACCAGCCCCTCAATTACTCAAAATAAGGATATCGATCATGCAAAAATATCAGTATAACAAAAAGAATGCAACGCCAACAATAGGTCTAGAACAGATGAGGATAATTATTCATTTGTACATTCATTTTACACTATTGACAGAAAAATCAATTAATGTATCATAAATATTTTTGATTGTCAGTGATCTTGTAGTAGAAAAATATACTGAATAAGCTATTGGAGACATTTGTTTTTAATTGAAACCTAAACATTTACCTTTATACATTTTGACATAGTTATCATTTTGAAGATGCTATATCATGTGAAACAATTTCGAATTACATTTATGTATTAATCAAGCAGCCAAAAATTGAGTCGAAAAAAAAGTCTTCTGATCAAAGAGGCAATCTTACCTAACTTTCTATTTGTTGATAAAAATTATGAATGAGAAAATTCTACAATAGTTATAAGTATTTCCGTCTTGCCAGAAAGTCTCAATGTGTATATGTACATGTAAACACTATTATTATGTTTAACCCTCTGGATCAATATGGATCAAATAACAAATAAGATGTATAGCGCATCATAAAAAGATAGGAAAAATACAATTCTTTTGGATGAATTTTGAGTACTATTTTCTGTTAAATTAATCCAGTTGTCTTCCTAACATAAACATTTCATTTATTTTTTATTGTTATTTTCATGCTTGTTCGTTTCTATCTTGTTTAGATTTTAACCATTTATACATGTTAACAGATTTATGTTACTATTATTCAGAGATTTTCACCCACTTATCATGATATTTTCTAACGATGTCAGAATGAATTATGATTCTATTTACGTACTTATTATCACTATGATTGACATAAAATATTTAGGGAAATTTAATAAAAGTAAAAATTTATTTGAAAGATTAAAATAAAGACAAAAACTAGCTGAACGATGTATCCACACATATTCATGCATATTCTTAAAAGGGTTGTACAAGAAAAATAGGAAACAAAATCGGGGCATATGTAATGATAAACAACATTATTGAGCTAACACAAGACAAAATAACCTGCATAAATATATATATATATATATATATTCTGTTATTCTAAATGCACATGTGAATATCATCCGGTCTCTATTTTTTATAAGAAGGGCGGGCGATATTAAGGATAAAATAAATAATTTAGTACAAGAAGACTTGATTCAATGAGGCTGTTGCCTAAATCTTTTCGCCATCAACAGTAGGAGAAGGCGTTACTTCAGATGATGTTACTTTCTGATCAGCGCTTTCATTTTTTGTTTGTGGTTGTTCTTTTTTAGAAGTTTCTGTAGCCGATGTTGATTTCTGTTTGGAAGCGTCCGCCGCAGGTGTGGCCTCTTTTTTAGCAGCTTGTGTTGTAGATGCGGCCTCTTTTTTTGTAGTTTGTGCTGCAGATGCAGGTTCTTTCTTAGTAGCTTGTGCTGCAGGTTCCTTTTTAACAGTTGGTGTTGTTGATCCGGCCTCCTTTTTAAGAGTTTCTGCTACTGGTGCGTTCTCTTGTTTAGGAGTTTCTGCTGTTGGTGTGGATTCTTTTTTAGGAGTTTTTGCTGCTGGTGCAGGTTCCTGTTTTGGGGCTTGTGCTACTGGTGCAGATTCTTGCTTTGGAGTTTCTGCTGGTGGTGATGCAGGTTCTTGTTTCGGAGCTTGCGCTACTGGCACGGGTTCTTGTTTTGGAGCTTGTGTTGTAGGTGCAGGTTGTTGTTGAAGTACTTTGGTTATAGGTGCTGGCTGTTCTTGAGAAGTTTCCGATGTGGATGGTTGTTGTTGAGGTTTTGTTTGAGGTATCTCTTCACCGAGAATCGTTCTTGAAATATTTTGAACATGTTGCGCATGTAATTCATCATATGTTGCTTGATTTGCTTGATTCATATAGTGGTTACGTAATGATGATAAACTATTTCCACCGCTAGCATTCGTTTTTTGTTGTTGTGCGGGATGCTGTTCTTGTCGACGTATAGCCGGTGCTTGATTTAACTCTTCTGAAAGCGATCCTGTTTTAAATCGATCACGTAGTGTACCAAAACCAGTCGGACTATGTTGAATATGTGACGGAGCAGCTGCTTGTTGAATATTTGTAAATGGATTTCCACCTTGTTGTTGCATTTGCATTTGATAATATTCAATGCTATTCACAGGTGGTTCAACCGGTTTTGGTAATGATGAATATGTCATTGAATGTGATGTTAATGCACGATTTGATGTTGTTTGACGTGGACCACTATTTGTTGTATGACTTGAACTTGAATGTTGACGAGATGTTGTTGTTGTTGTTGTTGTTGCTGCTGATTTTGATCGTGAATGAACTGTTTGACCTGATGTTGGTTCAGCAAATTTATGCACAAGATTCTAAAGAATATTGTTTTGTTTTTAATAGGATGTCACGTTCTCTATGGGTACGTACTCGAATTCCAACAGGATGAGAAGGATCTTGCTGTTGTTGTTGTTGTTGTTGTTGTTGGGTTCTTTGTGCAGCCAACCGTTGTTGAGCTGCGTAGTAATCTTAGTAGGCAAAAATTTTAAGGAAACTTGAGTGAAGAATTAGGAAAAATACCTTGCTCATCTTGAATTTGTTTTTCTGATTCTGATCGAACTCGTCTTTGTTGTCCTCCATCGAAATTAGCTGTTGGACTATAGTGTTGTTGTTGATGATGATGAGTAGATGATGGAGATACTTGTTGAGCAATAACTCGATGTTGCTGCCCATGACGAGAAGTTTGATCTTGCTGCCTTTGCATTTGTTGCTGACGTAACAATTGTTGATGTTGTTCTTAAAAATAAAAAGGAAAAGAACAAGGTTATACATATGCTGTCATCTCGTCAACATTTATTCTAATATGTAATAGAAATGATGAAGCACGAAATTTATTATGGCATAAGAATGTAAAAAGCACAACGGAGCAAACATACCCGGTGTCAATTGACTATAATATTGCTGTAAATGATCTGGATGTCGCTGAGGAGAAATCGAATGAGACTGTTGAGGAGAACCAGTTGATACAGACCGAACTGACACTCGTTGTGCCTATTTTATAGAAACAATATTTTATTTTTATTTTTTAAAATGATAATCAATATTTTCCAAGACCTGTACATGTTGATCATGAGTTTGAGATGAATTTTCAGTCCATAGATCCACGTTATGATGTGTAAATTGAGCAGCACCCGGTGTTTGATAGACCACTGGAGGGCCTGTTGGATGTCCTGCTCTTTGTTGAGTATCATATTGAAAATGATTCTGTTGAGGTGAAACTTGTATTACTTGTGGCGAACCTTGTAAATGATATCTATCTTGATTAGAGATTGCTCGTGCCGTAGTTCGAGTTTGAGGTGTTGCCGACTGAGCTGTGTGATAGTGGTGTTGAGTTACACCTTTATTGAAGCCACCAACAGATAGATAATTTTGTGGTACTTGATGTGAATCAGTTAAATGAATTTGCTGGTTTGATGCACCCGAGATACTAATGGGATATGCCGAATAAGTAGATGAATTGTATGATGATCTTACAGGCGAACTATAAGTTTGATATGGTTGTGAAGAAGTAGTAGCATTATTAGTATTAAAGTAATATTGATTGCCACTACTTGCATTTTCAATGTAATGTGTGGCCATTTTATTATAGTAGAAAATTTATTAGAAAACAATAAAGAAAAATAAAAATTTGGCAACTGAAGAGGCGACAACCAAACAATAAATATAGATTTAGTAGCAACGAACTAAACGCGCAGAAGTCGTTCGAGCTATCTTATCGATATATTATGTTTTGCTCTATCTCGTTCTCTGTTGTAAATATGATTTTTTTTTCTTCTACTTTTATCTCTTTGTATGTATACGAGAGTAGAGAAGAAGCAAATTCCGGAAGTGTTGACCAAAAAGCAGATACGTTATATGCATTTCTTCTTTTCCCACATGTGGATATTTTTCTTCTTCTTCTTCTTCTTAGCAACGATGCAGAAAAGAAAAGAGCGTACGTACTTGTATAGACAAAATCCAATCATCGTTGCCATTAGAAAGAAAAATATAAGGCAAAAACATCCTACCGCAAATACTCGTTTTGTGTACGGGCTCATAGATATATTTTTCTTATGTATTATTAACAGAAATGGCGTATACAACGAAAGAGAAAAGAAACGCATTGTCGATTTATTAGCAAGAGTGTCCCCGAACGACGGACTGTATATGCCTTCGTCAGTTAGTTCTGCGGTTACGATTTATAAACGCGTAATGTTCGTTTTATAGTTTCACGGCAAATGGGGCATCTTGTTAATAATTTAGCACAATTAAGGCATGATACAATATGACCACATTCAATAAATGCACAATTAGCTTCCGCATCTAAACACACTTTGCAAGCATCTTCAGAATTTGAAGCAGATGATGATTCTAAAGGATTATTTGATAGCATTGATTGTGCAGATGCTCCTGTTTCATCATGTAACATAGATGATGATTCTTTTTTTTAGAAAGAAAAGAATAAATTTTTAGCTGATATTTCATGTCAAACAAAATATGAAGAAAAGAATTAACTTACTCGAATATTTTGAATAGTCTTCATCAGATGTTCTATCGGTTTCATGTGTTTTTAGATTTTTTTCTGTTCTAGCTGTAAGGACTTGGTTTGATTTTAGATATTGATATTTCTTAATCAGATCTTCCATTGATAATTGTTTTGCCATTGAAATAATTAATGTTTTACGCTTAAAATTTTATTTTTCCGTATAATATTTTTACTAGGCGATTTCTTGTCAAAGTGTTTGTCTTGTAATAAAATAAGATTGCAAAGCGAATCTTTCAGCGACATTTTATAATTCTTCAGTCGTTTTTTTGCAGCAAGTTACGTATGAGTCAAATAAAAACAAATCTGATAAAGTTACTTGTTACGTCATCAAAAGAACAAATAAAAAAAAGAAAATAAACTGCAAAGCTCATAGACAACATAAGAGCAGAAACGTTTTCTATGGCAAAGCGAAGAAAAAAAATGTAAACGAAGTTTTAAAAGAATTGATGCATATTTTTTTCCTATTCTGGCACACATGAACAGCAAGAAAGAGAAAAAAAATCATTTTTTGTTTCATATTCTCGTCGAAAAAACGAATTTTTGCATCTTTTTATATGTTTACACTTGAAGTGCAACGGTGCACATTGCCTCACAACAGAGCAAACATTCCTTAACGATTGAAAGTTTGTTTTCATCGTTATTTGTTCATAAAAAAAATAACGAAAAGAAAAGAGTTACTGAAATGCGCCGTAGTTGTAAGGATCGAACATTTCTTTTTCTTAGTGCTTTATTAATATTCTATATTGGTTGGTATGCACTCAATAGTTCTTTACGAACTTTTCGTGATCCAGCTGAAGAAATAGCTTATCTACATGCAATTAGTGGATCATCACCAATCTTACATAATATTCAATTATGTGCTTACAATGACATTGATGTTCTTAATCTAATTATTTCATCAGGTTCACATTTTCTTGAAAGACAATCAATTCGTGAAACATGGGGATCAATGTCTAATATGTTTAATGTTCATTCTCAACGTCTTTTCGTTGTTGGTTATCAACGCGGTAATAATCTTTTTAAAGATTTATCAAATGAAGCACAAAATGAACAAGATTTACTTTATTTAACTACTGATGATAATTCAATGACACTTAAAGAACTATATGCATATCGTTGGCTAGAAAGATATTGTCCAAATGCAACATTTACATTTAAAACAGAAGATGATCTTTTTATCAATCCATTTCTTTTACATGAACTTGTTCGAGAACTTAAAACTCAGCCAGATCAATTTCAAAATCGACATTTATATAATAGTTCATTAGATTCACTTTTTCTTGCTCATCTTAATCCCGATGCATATACATTTCTATTTGGTTGGGCATTTCAACCAGGTAAACCAGAACGAAATACTAGCATGGGACCGTATTATGTTAGTTATAAAGAATATTCAAAAGATTTATATCCACGTTATTGTTCTAGTTTGTATAACTACCATTTGATATGATAAAGAAATTTAGTTTAACATTATTTTAGGTTTCGGTTATTTAATGGATTCCAAAACACGTAATTTAATTGTTCAAGAAGGTTTCACAGACAATAATCCATTTCGTTTTTCGGATATTTTTATAACTGGCATATTACCTGAACGACTTCATTTTATTTGTGATGTTCTTCCATTTACTTATCATCAAGGTACGACAGAAGAATGTATAAGTATAATAAAAAGATATAATAGAAAAGATATACAATCACCAATACCTCCACTCATTGTTTGCTCTACGGGTCGTCATATAGCACAAAATACATTTTCAGATTATTATCGAATATGGACAGCTCTAAAATATGTTTATGGTGATCGAGTACATAGTTCACAAAGTAAAATGCCAAAAGACTAATAAAACTTTTTTTTTCTCTCTCTCCTTAGCTCAATGTTTATTCATATTGATATTTAGTTTGTGATTGATATAGTAACAAGATGAAAAAGAAAAATAAAGACACTTTGCTATATCTACCAACCATAACCAAGGGGAAAGGCTGATTTGGGACTTTTTGGATTTAACATCCAAAAAAATTCTCCATTTCCCCTTGACCATAACATTTTATTACGAAAAATTGGATAATAGCATAATAATACAATATTATATAGTTTTTTGTTGAGTCTAAATTCTAACCAATCCTACACTGTTCGTATGATTATCCACTTGTTCAATTTTTGGATGACACAACTCGCAGCAAGATATTATTGATACTTAGACCAGATTCATAGCTGTTATTTACTAGTATAAGGTTGTAGACTCATAAAATAATATTAATATAGTCTGTCAATTAGAGTGTAGGCATCGTTGAGAGAAATGACTTTTTTCTGATCTGATATTGAGGCTTGTACTCAGCTATACTCTCATATTCATCGAAAAACAATAACTGATTTAAAAATATAGTCCAATGAATAAAAACATTATTATACATATTTAAGATAGAATGTGAAACAGTATCTCTCTTTTAATCGTAATGATACATATTACTATGAACATTCATGCCCCTAATAAATGGCTCATTTCAGCCTTTTTAAAATTATGATATATTTAATAAAAGCAGGAAGTGTATGACAACACGGCGTCGGAAAAATTCGCGCTCTTAAGATTTAAAAATGTTGAGCTGGTTTTAGTCGGAATCAATTTGTTATCAAAAACAGAGCTCAACAAGAAAAACAATGATTTGCATTCCCCACTCTTTTCTTGTCGCTACGCTTCTGCAAAAAGCAAAGAATATAATGAAAAACTTGAATTGCAAATCATTTGAGAAAGAAGAAGCAGGAATGTGGAACCGTCGCAATATTTGGTTAATATACATAAGTGAAGGTAAAACAGGATTTCCCTTTTTTAATTTCTATATTCGTCTACTAGATTGATGCCTTACGTATATATTTTAACTTGCCACAACACTTTTCGTCTTTCTTCTAGAGAAATATCAAGACTCACAGCAAAAGAAACAGAAATTGAAAAAAATCTGGAAATTTCGACTTTAGCATTCACTGCAATATATCGAAGGGGGGGGGGGGGGGGGGGGTGCTCGCCC